TGCTTGTGCAAATTTTTACTGTGTGCTCCATGAAATATAACTTTATTCCCACCTGCTCTCCCTGCTGTAATCAGTCACTGAAGTGCAGCACTTGAAAGTAAATGAAATTTAAAAAAAAACAGCTTTGAATGTAAGGTCACAGAGCATAAGTCATTCTTTATGTTTTATATTTTTTCCCCTTTACAGACACAACAGTCCGTCGTTTGAATACGCTGTTTCATCTCGTCTTAACGAGGTAAATACCTGAGCCTTACACTATGAACTCTTCGTCAAAGTGGCAGTGCACTTTCATGTCATGTTCGTGCGCGGAGCCTAACAAGATATACAACATAATTAGAAAAGCTGATTGTGACATTGTTTCTGAATGTGCTGTGTGAAGTATTTCATCAGAATAAACATGAATTCATTACAGTTAGGGCTGTCAAAGTTAACATTAATGCAAACTATTATTTCAATATGTTTAACGCTGGTTTTTTTCGTATGTCATTAATGTTTCACCTTTATAGCTATTTTTTCTGTTCTTTGTGGTTACTAAAAACTGGTTGAGCCTTCTGAAGTGGTCAGAACATGTTTGGAGCATCAACTATGAGTGAACCGCCAGTGAAGGACTGCAGGTCACTGACAAAAACAACTTTACACAAGTTAAGTAAATTGTGTATTATTCAGTAATTGCACATTTGCATTGAGTTTCATGTTTGCATTTACTGTTTGTTTAGATGTAGTTTGAAAAATATAGAATCTGTGTTTTGTGCGATAAAGATGAGTAGAGATCATTTACATAAATGTAATTGTCAAACAAGTACATGCCTATTAATTTTCCTTTTTGCAACTTGAATGCTAATATCATGCTAATGCTAATATCATGCTAATAATGTTAATTGTTATTTTAATGGACTGACATTGCTAATTGGAGTTTTTTTTTTCTTGTGCAGTAAATTTTAAGGGTTTTTATGGGGAAATTACAGCAGACAAAAACGAAGAGTTTGTTCTTGCTCTGTTAACAGTTAATTGTATTAGATGTATTCTGAATCTCGTAGGGTGGGGTGGGGGGCTTCTGAGGAGTTTTTCGATTTTCATCCATCATAAAAAATGATGGCTGGGCTCAGGGTAAAAGGCATGGGTTAATTCAATCATACACAGCCACGAGAGTGCATCATTAGTCATATAATACCCACTTCTGAGCGCAGAGATAGATGAAAACAGACTCTGGTGGATGGGTTAGCTAGATCAATGCATATGTAAACAGACAAGTAGTCGGCCACTAACTAGGTTGAAAAAGTATGTTGGTTGATTCCTCCGGTTGGGTTTGGCTCTGGCTTGATTCAGCTCTCACATTCAGTATGTTTGGACACTAGCTTTGAAGGTTCCCTTTGATTGTCAGATGGAGAAGATGTCCAATAGGTTGGGTGAAAAAAACTTCAATATCAAATTTATCTCAAAGCTTTCTTCTAGCTTTGATGCAAAATGCATCACCATATTGTATTTTCATTTCACAAGTCTTGCCTTGGCTATGAAATTGCACTTTGCACTATTAAATTTCAAACTTCTCACCACCTGGGATTGTAGGAATCTCAGTAACAATCACTGTAGGATTCAGAAATGACTAAAGACAAAGTGAGTAATTTCTGCAGTACTACACTGCAAAAATGATTTACTTCCTCAGTATTTTTGTCTTGTTTTGCAATATAAATATCTAAACATTTTTAAAAGATACATTTGTTTGACAAGCAAAATGACATTAATGTCTTAATGTCTTACATCATTTTGCTTCTCAAGTATCTGATTCAAGAATGTTGAGATATTTGTATTGGAAAATGACAAAAATACTACGTAAGAAAATAATTTTTTAGTGTAGCATCAATGAACAGAAAGTTATCAAATTATTGCAGTTATGTTCAATGCAACCTTTTAATGTAAATTAGGCTCATTACAGATTGTGGCTTGGTGCACTTCACGTTGCGGTAATTTCAATATAAGTCACGATGAAATGGAAGACATGGGTTTGTAGGGCAGTGTTTGGTTCTATTCATCAATCATTGACTAGATTACTAAATGATTGGACTAAATGATTGTAGAAGTTCATATGTCACCAGAGAGAAGTCTGTCGAGTTTTGTGTACAGTTTTATCGATCATGGTTGCAGATATTCAGCAAATTATTTTCTTGAACACTCCATTGGTTGGACAAGCAATAGTCCCGCCCCAAACTCATTCAGGTGTTTGAGCCTTTCTGTCAAGCTGTTTTGGATGCTCAAACAGCAGAATGCACTTAAAAATCAACTCTGTAAGCAACTTGCAATTTTATGTTCTTATCACAGATGGCAATAGAGAGCCCAATTGTCTATAAAGCCACTGGTACAGGAGAAAGAATTACACACTTCAGTTTTAAGGGTAATTTGGTGTCATAATCAATATTTTTTAAACTGCTCTTTCTGTACATCTGTTTTTTATGTTTCAAAGATTAATTGGGTTTTTAGATACTTGAACAATCGTGTAGTGTGGCTAAGAAAGACAGAAAGACCGCAGGGGCTTTGGAGACCATGCCATCTGAATTTCCGCACTGCCAATAACCCACAGTATTTTTTCTTTCACTCTTACTCTGTGTGTGTTTAATAATATATCTTCGCATATGTTACAGCAGCGAGCATGCGGGGAGAGAGGAAGCAAGCCTGAGTTTGCGCCCCTGGCCACTTCGCTAATGTAACCTTAGCAGAAGACTAACTCAGGCCAAGGACTCATCTTTGATGGTCAGCGCTGATGGTGTTCGGCTTTTTAGAAGCAAACTCAAGGAGCTCCTGTGGAAATACTGTAAGAGCAGCTTTGCTAGACCCGAGCATTTATAATACATTCTCCTCTCTGCTTCCAACTGTACCGACGTATCGCCAGCGTAATCTTCACCTAAAACTAGGGCAAGTATTACATCACATGAAAGCAACTGCAGACAAAAGCAAAAATTGCAGATCACACATGTGCCCACGCAACGCAGTGTGGTGGAAATCATGGTCAAATACACCAATGATGTCTAAATGGAAGTGAAGACATAAATAGTCGGCTTTTGAAATTTATCTATGAAACGTTACACAATATTTTAGCAACCCTAACTAAAGTAAAACATATACATATTCTTCTCAACTTAGGCTGATTGAATTTCATTTAGAGTTTAAGAATTTCAACAAATCCCCTAACGTTAAATATTAAACTTGCATATAACTACACTGTAAAAGAAAATCTGTAAAATTTGCAGTAAAATATGGCAGCTATGGTTGCCAGAAATTTACCATAAAAATATTTTAGCAACATTTTAGGTTTTGTGGACTGAACTTAAATTTACTGTTGAAATTAAAATTTTACAATGTATAATGTTAATATATCGATTTACTGAAGTTCTAAAGGTACTAAAATAGTTTTATAATAAACTGACAAACACTAAAAAATGCAAAAAAGAAAGTAGAGAAAGAAATCCATGTGTAAAATTACGTAGATTTACCACAAACTAAGGTAAATACTTATATGTATACGTATATGTGTGTGTATGTGTATATATATATATATATATATATTCAGTATATACACATATATATGTATATGTATATATATATATGTTTACCTATCATTGACGTAAAACAATTGAAAGTGGGGAGAATATCTCATGATGAAGTAAATGTTTTTCACCAATGCATGTTGGCCACAATTATAGGCACCGCTAGAAATTCCCCTAGAAACACCCCTAGAGTAAAATATATCTGAAGTATATTCCCATTCATATTTACATTTTTTAGCACACCAGGGTGACTAGGAGCATGAAATTGTCCAGCCATAACTTCCTGTTCCACAGGGCACAAAGGCCAAATTCCATTAATCATCCATCACAAGGAGTAAAACCAAAGAATAAAGTTCTGATGTGCAGAACAAGATTGTTGAGCTTCACAAAATAGAGTGGCTGTAAGAAAAGAGCTAAAGCATTGAAAATTCCCATTTCCACCATCAGGGCGATAATTAAGAAGTTCCAATCAATGAGTCTTGGGGTCAGAAAGCCTAAAAAAAATATCAAACAGCCCCTACATCACCAAATGTTGTTCGGGAGGGTTTCAAGAAAAATTCTCCTCGCTCAGTCAAAAACAAACTCCAGCATATTCAGTTGTCAAACATGACTGGAACTTCAAATGGCACTAGCCTCTAAGGTCATAAGATATTAAAAAAAAGCTTTTTGGCAGCAAACCCACCAGATGGGTTTAGTACAAACAGGGATAAAAAAGTACCCCATACCCACGTTTAAATATACTGCTGGATCTTTAATGTTGTGGGCCTGTTTTTCTGCTGGAGGTCCTGGGCATCATGGATTCTATCAAATACCAACAGATAAAAAAATCTAAACCTGACTGCCCCTGTTAGAAATCTTATAATGGGCCATGGTTGGATCTTCCATCAGGACAATACTCCAGAACAAACATCAAAATCAACACAAAAATTGGTCGCTGATCACAAAATGAAGTTCTGCCGTGGCCGTCCCAGTCCTCTGACCTGAACCCTATAGAAAATGAGTGTGGTGAACTGAAGAGAAGAAGCACCAACATGGACCTGGGAATCTAAATGGTCTGGAGAGATTCTGGATGAAGGAATGGTCTCTAGGATCTGGAGTGATTCTGGATGAAGGAATGGTCTCTGATCCCTTATCAGGTATTCTCCAAACTCTTCAGGCATTATAGCAGAAAACTCAGAGCAGTTATCTTGGGAAAAGGACGTTGCAATAATTGGATGCCAATAATTGTGGCCAACATGAACTAGAGAAAGCATTTATTTCACAATGAGATTTTCCCCCACATGTCCCATTAGATCTTTATTACAGTTTTTCACTGTATTTACTAAGGTAACTTGCCATTAACCAGTTAACAGGTTGCAAACATTTGTTACAGCGTACATTTTTACATTCTTACAGTGGACTCCATGCAGCTTGAGGTGTGCTATAGATTTATAATTTTTGCCTTGCAGATTATAAAATAAGATGAAAAACACCCTAGCATTCACCCTGGTAACCGTCTAGCTACAGATCAGAACATATTAGTAACTGCATACCAATATTCTAGCAAGCACCCAAAACATTCTAGTAGAAAAAAAAAAAATCAAATTTAATAAATGTAATTTTAGAGAAGGAACCCACAGACTGCATTTTAAAATGTATTAATACTCTCTCTATACCTCAAAACTTACAGAAAACTTGAAAAACTTTTTTTCAGCTGTGGGACGGACTGGCTCAGTATGGCAAGAGATGCACACTAAACAAGATGAAAAAAGAGAATGTGAGATTAAACCAAGCGTGCACTAAAATGCAGCACTACAGGTTGAGTTGAAACGCAGCACACGCTGAAGTATAGAGCTCGCTCAAGGCCCTGTCCAAAGGAAACTCAATGCTTAACTCTTCAGATGTGTCCGAGCGGCTTTGAGAGAGCCTTCATTGATCTGTTGACACGGATCTGTTGCCCCCAAACCTACTTACATGACTGCCCTCAGAGACCTTCAGGCAGTGTTCATTTTTACAGCTTGTTTTATTGTTGTTTTAGTCATAGTTTTTGTCTTTTTGGCAAAAATGTCCTTGAAATTTAGTTCATATTTTGTATTGTCATATTCATTCATTTTAGTCCAGTTTACTCTGAATGAAATGGCATATGATTTTAGTCAACATGAATGTAATGCAAAAACGTTCATTTTACATATTAGGATTTTTTTAAATTAAATTGAAGTTCAAGCTTTATTGTCATTCTGCTACATGTGGGGACATACAGTGGAACGAAATGTCGTGCCTCACAGGACCACGGTGCTACATAAATACAGGCATACAACAATGAAGTAAAACAGTAAAACCTATACACAACTAGCCTACTGACTGATTTTGACTATAAATATACTATATATATAAATGTTTACCTATACATAAATAATTGCATCGTCTGTAGAGCGGTTTGGACGGTATGCAAACTGGTCCACATAAGAGATTACTGTGGCATATTAATCTCATAAAATATTTGTTTTAGAGACTGTTCTGAATATTACATTGTGTGACAAATAATTTTTTTTTTTTTTTAATCAAATTAATACTTTTATTTATCAAGGATGCATTAAATTGCATTAAAGACATTTAAAACATATTTAAATATATGCTGTTCTTTTGAATTTTCTATTTATCAAAGAACCCTGGGGGGAAAGTATTATGGTTTCCACACACAAAAAAATTAAAATAAAATAAATAATCCTAAGAATGAAAAGATAATAAGAAATGTTTTTTCCCCTCAAATTGATTTTAAAATGAATTAAAATAGAAAACAATTATTTTATATTTGTAATATTTTACTGTATTTTTGATCAAATAAATGTAGCCTTCTGAGCACATAAGAGATTACTGTGGCATATTAATCTCATAAAATATTTGTTTTAGAGACTGTTCTGAATATTACATTGTGTGACAAATAATTTTTTTTTTTTTTTAATCAAATTAATACTTTTATTTATCAAGGATGCATTAAATTGCATTAAAGACATTTAAAACATATTTAAATATATGCTGTTCTTTTGAATTTTCTATTTATCAAAGAACCCTGGGGGGAAAGTATTATGGTTTCCACACACAAAAAAATTAAAATAAAATAAATAATCCTAAGAATGAAAAGATAATAAGAAATGTTTTTTCCCCTCAAATTGATTTTAAAATGAATTAAAATAGAAAACAATTATTTTATATTTGTAATATTTTACTGTATTTTTGATCAAATAAATGTAGCCTTCTGAGCACATAAGAGATTACTGTGGCATATTAATCTCATAAAATATTTGTTTTAGAGACTGTTCTGAATATTACATTGTGTGACAAATAAAAAAAAATTAAAAAAACTTTTATCAAAATGTACTAACTTGCTCTTCTTCTGACAGAACTCTCCATTTCTTTCAAGATTTGGTCTGGCTCCATTCTGGTATGTATCATCCACTTTTCACAAAACAAAGTTCCTCATTTTCGCTTAGAAATACATTATATTATGGACATAAAAAGGGTCGAGAATGACCATTTAAGTTGATTTTAAGCAGCTAGATGGGAATATATCAGCATCCAAAACGTGCTGGTGTTTTCAGAAGGGATAGCAGCATACGATGGCCTGTCAGGTCATTCACAGCACAGTGCACTGTAGACGCTAAGCAACTGTCACTCAGCACGTCTGAATATTGACAGATCCCAGCTGAACAAAGTAACGTATCAAATAAAGCTATGCCGATAACATGGATGTGACGCTCTCTGTGATTTATGGATTTTGACCACCGTGAAGGGATGTAGGGATGTTTCTGTAGAGAAGAGCTCTCATTCAGATTGTACTAACCATGCAAATTGCTCAGCTAATTAACTTCTGCTAGTGTTGTGAGCCTTGCATCAACTGTTGGGTTTTTCACAGCGGTTTGTTTTTCCAAAGCGACCACAATGCATTTGAGCCTCAGTTAGAGCAGCCTGCAGAGAATCATTCATAGAATCACGTCACGTACGCACTCAGAGATATTCCTAATTTCTTACATAACGGGATTGCTTTGCGTGAAGGAGCAGAGGGAAATTTCTCCACAAGTTATTATCTAAGGGTTTATGATGAAAAGGCATTCTAAAACAAATCCGGAGTAACATTAAAGGGGTCATATGATGTTACTAAAAATAACATAATTTTGTGTATTTGGTATAATGAAATGTGTTTATGCGGTTTAAGGTTCAAAAAACACATTATTTTCCACATACTGTACATTATTGTTTCTCCTCAATGCCCCCCATTTCTGAAACACGTAGATTTTTACAAAGCTCATCGGTCTGAAAAGCGAGGTGTGCTGTGATTGGCCAGCTATCTAGTGCATTGTGATTGGCCAAGTACCTCAAGCGTGAGACGGAAATGTTACGCCTCTTAACATACTGTGAAGCCGTCTCCCGGCCGGAGCGACGAGACAAAAACATTAAAACCCATTATAAACGAGGCATTTGTTGCATCCAGTGGGGACAT